CTGCTCGGGGTGTGTGCAAAGGCAACCAATCGATGTGTCTCTCACATCAATGTTCTTCTCTGTCTTTCTCTCTCCCTTCCACTCTCTCTAAAAATCAATGGAAAAATATCCTCAGGTAAGGATTCAAACAAACAAACAAACAAAAATACTACATCCTGAGGAAAAAATCTGCCTTTATTAGAAATTTTACATGTGTTGTTTTGATTTGCATTCCCCTAATAATTAGTGGTGTTGAGCATCTTTTCATATGTCTGTTTGCCATCTGTATGTCTTGCTTGAAAAAATTTCTAGTCAGATCCTCTGCCTGTTTTTTATTTGGACTATTTATTTTGTTGTTGTTGAGTTGTATGAGTTGTTTTTTGTTTTTTAAATATGGAACGCTTCACGAACTTGCATGTCATCCTTGTGCAAGGGCCGTGCTAATCTTCTCTGTATCATTCCAATTGTAGTATATGTGCTGCCGAAGCGAGCACAGTTGTATGAGTTCTTTATATATTTTGGTATTAACCTCTAATTGGAAATATCATCTCCAAAAAAAAGAAAATATCTTCTCCCATTTGGGTAGTTGCTTTTTTGTTTTGTTGATGGTTTCCTCTCTGTGCAGCTTTTTAGTTGGATGGAGACCCATTTCATTTATTTTTGTTACCTTTGCCTTTAGAGTCAAATGAAAAAAAACCATTGTGAACCATTGTCCAGAAGCTTAGTACTTAACGTTTTCTTCTATGTATTTTATTGTTTCAGCTCTTACATTCAAGTCGTCAATCCATCTTGAGTTAATTTGTGTGCGTGTTATAAGATAGTGATCTAGTTTTATTCTTTTGCATGTGGCTGTCCAGTTTTCCCAACACCATTTATTGTGTATTCTTGGCTCCTGTATCGTAAATTAATTGCCCATATATGTGTAGGTTTATTTCTGGGCTCTCAATTCCGTCCCATTGGTCTCTGTTCTTGTTTAAAGCAGATATTTTATAATTTGTACTTTTTCAGAAGTTTAGAGTTTGATTGTTCTTTCAATTTTTAAATATTTTCGACATGTCCAAGAACGTTATTACCTGGACTTGTTCTACTTGAGAAACTAAATTCTTTTTTAAAAAAAATATTTTTATTGATTTCAGAGAGGAAGGGAGAGGGAAAGAGAGATAGAAACATCAATGGTGAGAGAGAATCATTGATCAGCTGCCTCCTGCACACCCCACACTGGGGAAGAGCCCGCAACCCGGGCTTGTGCCCTGACCAGGAATCGAACCGTGACCTCTTGGTTCATAGGTCGATGCTCAATCACTGAGCCAGGCAAGAAACTGAATTCTTAATAGAAATGGCAAATAAGCCAACATAAAATTATAACTTTACCTTGTCATACAAAGTCTGGCAGGACACATATTCCAAACTGCTGCCAGTTATTTTCCTGGAGGGGTGAGATTTGGGTAATAAACTTCAGGACATGAAGGGAGGACTTGCTTTTTAATTTTATAAACCTCTTTATGCTTAAGTGTTTTTTTTAAAAAATTGGCATGTCTTATATTTACTAGTAAAAATCAATAAGTTATTTTTAAAATTATACCTTGGGTATAAAAATGCACAAATTAGCTGTGGCTGGTGTGGGTCAGTGGTAAAAGCATCAGTGTGCATACTGAAGGGTCTAGGGTTTGAGGATTCAATTCCCCGGTCAAGGGCACCCCCTCCTTCGGACTGTGGGGGAGGCAGCCAGTCCATGTGTCTCTGTGTCTATCTCACATTGATGTTTCTCTCTCCCTCCCCCCCCCCCACCCTTCCACTCTCTCTGAAAAGCAATGGAAAAAATATCCTCATGTGAGGATTAACACACACACAAAAAATGCACAAATTACATGAGCAAATCCATCCAAAACACTTTCCCCAAAAGAGAAGTGAACACATTAAACCCTATATTTCTTCACAAAAACGAAGAACAATACAGTAATGCTTTAGTCTAAATATACCAAATAGTCACAAACCTACACATACACACAGGAATCATAAATATAGTCACGAAGTGATGTCATCATAACATTGATGTGTAAGAACCCAAAGAATTCTTTTTTTTCTTCTTCTTCTTAAATATATTTTTATTGGTTTCAGAGAGGAAGGGAGAGGGAGATAGAAACATCAATAATGAAAATTATTGAGAATTCTTGACAAATATATTAGTAAGTATTTATCTACCCCCACCCTTCCAATGTTTCCTGAATTGCTTCTCAAACCTTATAAGTAATCATGAAGAGATATAAGATTTAAACACAAACCCATAAGCATACCTCTTTGTCCCCTACACTATCCTAGATTTAGAAGATGGTTAAATGTTTTGTTTTGTTTTATACTACAAGTGGGGGAGGGAGTAGAGAGCTAAGAAAAGAGATTTAGATAGCATCAAATACATGAAACCCCTAGGAGGAAAAAAACTAATTCCTGTAATTCATTTTACTTTATTTTAATGGGTCTGGTTAACTGGAAAGACTTGGAGGGGAAAAATTAGGAAGGAAATTTTCATATAGTACTATATAAGATTTGAAAAGACGAAAGACAGATGAACTATCCCTCTATCAAAGTCATATACAAGGTGTGTGTATGTGTTATAAATATGCGTGTATGTATTATAAATAACCAACAACAGATCTATATTTTTTCAAGGATATAAACAGAATGAACACATATAAACTAACACCTATACACTAAAGCTAAATGTCTTGGGTCTAAACATTTTCCCCACTGCCTCGATCACACACTGTTTAAATCTACCTGTAATAGTCTCTTTATGTATATGAGAAAGCAGCAGGAATCCTTCCCCACTTCCAACACTCCCATCAGGTGATCAAAAGATCCCTAAATGTCTACAGTCCCTTTTTTCTTCAAAGAACAGCTACAACACTGAGAGAGGGTAAAGTGTCTTTCTGTTACAGCATGAAGTTCCCCCCAATCAGCATTGTATGCCCTGAAATGTCAAAAAACAAACAAACAAACAAAAAACTGCCAAGGATATTCCGTGGCAAATGTTGGCATGATGTCCACCTCTCTCCAGAGGGCCTCTGGGCTCCAGCAAAGATAACTTTTTGGCGGCCTCTGGTTAATCCCAAAGACTCCAAGGATCCCCGCTGAGCCTGGCCATCTACAGATCTCAAAGCACCAGCAAAACCCACAGAATCACAGACCTTTCTGCCTTAGCCCTAAAGGATGTCTTCTCTTAAGGCTCCTTCCCTTCGGGCTGGATGGGGTAGGCTCTCGTCTAGAAGACTATACCCCCGTCTTGATGAAACTGTTGTGATTTCACCAACTATATTTCTGCTACCTGATAATGCTGCTCAAACGGGTAGGAAGGAAGGTGGGGTGGGAGAACAGAAACAGTTAACCAAAAAGATAAAATAATATTGGAGGGGGGTGGGCTAGGGGCCAGGGTCTGAGATGACATATTATCCCTGTGGAGATTAGGTATATCAGCAGGAAGTCAAACTGACTTCATTTCTCAAAGATAAAAACTTGTTTTTAATTCTCCTGCCTTCTCAGGCCTCACATACAAAGACTGTAAATTCCTGGAACTTCAGGACCAGGTGAGAAAAGATGCCAGAAAGTGGTGGAAAAGAGAGAGGAGCTGAGATGAGAAGAGGAATCCTTTTCCTGACTTAAGGAGAATGTTGAAGCCAAGAGCACTCCCGGATCCCCAGAAAAGGAAGTAGCTGAATTCCAAAAAAAGCACTTTCCCTACCTTTTTGTTGTTCTTGTTATAGCCAAAAGTTGAAATCCCAGGTCTGGAAGTCACTGATAGCAGCATTTTCTCTTTAATATTAGGGAGCTAAGAGAGGAGAGGGACAGGGAGGGAAGAGAGAGGGAGAGAGAGAGAGAGAGAGAGAGAGAGAGAGAGAGAGAGAGAGAGAGAGAGAAGGAAAGGAGAGAAAGGGAGAGGGGGAGAGGGAGAGGGAGGAAGAGAGAGGGAGGGGGAGGGAAGGAGGGGAAGGAGGGAGGGAGAGAGTAAGTGAGGGGGAGGAGAAAGGGAGAGAAAAGGAGCAAGAGGGAGAAAAATGAGGGGGTGGGGGTAAAGAATGAGCTTGGGCTGCTTCTTGACGTCACTGGGAGAAGTTAACCCAGAGTCTGAACGAGGCACTACCACTGGGTCCTAATGCCCAAGATGTTATTTTTTAATTTTTCACAGGCTCAGTAGTTCAAGCAAAAAGGAAAGTTCTTAGGTCTACCCTTTCCATTCCATCCCCTTTCCTCGATGAGCAAGTTCTGATTCTCTTGAAAAGACCATGAGGAACCCTGACCGGTTTGGCTCAGTGGATAGAGCGTCGGCCTGGGGACTGAAGGGTCCCGGGTTCGATTCCCGTCAAGGGCATGTGCCTTGGTTGCGGGCATGTCCCCAGTGGGGGGCGTGCAGGAGGCAGCTAGTCGATGTTTCTCTCATCGATGTTTCTGGCTCTCTGTCCCTCTCCCTTCCTCTCTATAAAAAATAAATAAAATATATTTAAAAAAGAAAAGAAAAACAAAAGACCATGAGGATTATTTTCCCTTAGGTACCAGCTGTAAGATGTCAAGCTTGTCCACTGGGACCCTACCTTGGAGAACATGTGAAGAAAACCATACTAAGAACACGTGAGGCGAGCTCAGGACCCCCCCCCCCCCCACACACACACACACAGCCTGTCTATTTACAGTGATCTTCGTACATGAAGAAAAAACAAACAGGAGGGCTCACCAACGAACAGAGGAAAGCAAAACAGAATGTGGGAAATGACTAGTTTCGTGTCCTTGGACAGTCCTAGGCCTCATGCTAATGGGCCGATGCCTCCCTCTCACTGCTTTTCAGATTCCTACAGGTATGACTTCATGCTTGGGAAGGGATTATCCAACAAGACTCTGCCATAAAACGCGGTACCTAGTGCTTCTCCTTTCCCCCTGGCTTCATTGGGATATAATGCCTTGCGGTTTCTTCAGCTATCTTATTTGACTCTTTATCTCACTGTTTCCTAGTCTCCACAACTAGAGATACTCACCAAACCTGGAATGTATGCCCAAACTCAAGTTCACAGAGATGTTTGCTTCAAGTCGTCTCTGAGCTGTAGAAAAAAACCCAAAAAACTATTTAAAAAGCGTATGCTTCACAAAGAATAAAAATACAAAGTTTTTAGAAAGGAAGATCCCAAACTTAGAGTCAAGAACCTAACATGGCTGCAGCAACACTCACCTCCAAGTTTCAAAGGAATGTCCTGTAGAATAGCCTTCACAAGAACAGAAGCTGGTAGGAAACCAGAAGTGCCAGAATGATACCCAGTAACTCCCACCAACCCAAGTGGAACAGGGATGGAGAGTGAAAGCCTTCAAATCCCTTCTCCAGGATGGATAGTCTCTTAAGACATAAATTAACTCTGTCTGCTTTGCCACAACCACCATGAAGCCCAAACCCTCCCGTAAATGAAGTCCCAGTCTCGGTTTTCCTGTCACTTTTTTTGCTGTGATAATAGGACGGACAGTACTAACGTTCTGCAGAGTCAATGCACACACCCCACACCCCCAATCTCTGACTTTCATTTCCAATAGGACAGGAAGCGCCTGCTCAGCTGAGGGGACACAGGAAGGGTGGGAGCAGCCTCGACGTGGGAAATGCAATGGATTGGAAGCACAGCGGCCAGTGCGGCAAATAAGTTAACGGAGACATCTCTCAGTGATACCGTTTTTCACAGTCCCTTTTCTACCCTCAGAGATTCTCATTCATTATATACCAAGTTATCCTGGCTCTTTAGGCCCTTAGTTAATGTTTTCTTCTTCAGCCTAACATAGTACAAAAACCTCAAACGTTAAGGCCTGATTTATAATGGGGTTTATAATGGCAGTCAACCTAATATGACTTTTTTAAAAATTCTAACATTCTCGCCGAAACCGGTTTGGTTCAGTGGATAGAGCGTCGGCTTGCGGACTGAAAGGTCCCAGGTTCGATTCCGGTCAAGGGCATGTACCTGGGTTGCGGGCACATCCCCAGTGGGGAGTGTGCAGGAGGCAGCTGGTCGATGTTTCTCTCTCATCGATGTTTCTAACTCTCTATCTCTCTCCTTTCCTCTCTGTAAAAACTCAATAAAATATATTAAAAAAAAAATTTGAAAAAAAAAAAATTCTAACATTCTCAATGCATTGTGTTCTCTTATTGCATTCCTTAATGCTTAATGATGTCTTAGAACTGAAAACAGTTAAAACCATGAGTTTTAGAGAGAAGTAGGCATGAGTTCAAATCCCGACACCTCAATTTAGTCACCATTTATGTGAGTTAACATCTCTAGCTCACTCATTTGCACAATAGGGATAATGCCCACACTGGTAGTGTTTGGAATAAAATCTAAGTTCTGGTTTATCCTGTTACTCACAAGCCGAGTGGTGCTGGAAGAATTATTTCACATGTCTGAGCCTTGCTTTTTTATCGTAAAACAAAGTAAATAAATAGTATCTAATTCCTAAAATGGCAGTGAAATGAAGTAAGGCAATACATATAAAGGCGCCTGGTTGCCCTGGCCGGTTTGGCTCCGTGGATAGAGCGTCGGACCTGAAGGGTCCCAGGTTCCATTCTGGTCAAGGGCACAAACCTGGCTTGCAGGCTCCATCCCCGGCCCAACAGGGGGCTGTGTGCAGGAGGCAACCAATCAATGTCTCTCTCTGTCTCTCCCCCTCCCTTCCACTCTCTCTAAAAATCAACGGGAAAAATATCCTCGGGTGAGGATTAACCAAAAAAAAAAAAAAAAAAAAAAGGAAAAAATAGATAAATAAACAAAGAAATAAATGTGCCTGGCACTTGGTAAACACTCAATAGATGTTAGCTCCATTATGATTAATTACTCTACTGTCCCCAGTGTGTATCCCTCTGGGTATTGTATAACCCAGATTTGGTGATCTGAAGTGAACATTTCCAAAAACTAGTATCTTAGTTACATTCAAAAGATTATATGAGTCAGAGGGGATAGGGCTTGGGGAGCTGAGTGAAAGAGGTGAATGGATTAGGCAAAGAAAGGAAAAAACTCAGACACACAACAGTATGGCGATTACTAGAGGGAAAGGGAGGGGGGAGGTGGAGCAGGTAAAGGGGGGATAAATGGTGATGGAAGGAGACGTGGAGTGGTGACTACACAGTATAATATACAGATTATGTATTATGTAATTGTACACCTGAAACCTATATAACTTTATTAACCAATGTCACCCTAATAAATTCAATAAAAATTTTAAGAATAGTTTATTGATTTTTAGAGAGAGAGGAAGGGAGAGGGAAAAGGAGAAACAGTGATTTGAGAGCCTGACATCAATGGGCTGCCTCCTGCTTGCCCCATACTGGGGATGGAGCCAGAAACGCAGGCATGTGCCCTTGACCGGGAATTGAACCAGCAACCTCTTGGTGCACAGGACGAAGTCCAACCATTATTTTAAAAGACCCTGGCCAGTGTTGCCAGTTGGCTGGAGTGTAGCTCCATACACCAAAAGGTGGTTGGTTCAATTCCAAGTCAGGGCGCATAAGAGAGGCAAACCATCCATGTTTCTCTCTCACATCATCTTTCTCTCTCTCTCTCTCTCTCTCTCTCTCTCTCTCTCTCTCTCTCTTAATCCCCCTCCTTTTTTCTCTCTGAAATCAATAAAAAACATATCCTTGGATGAGGATTAAAAATACTTTTTAAAAAAGATTATGAGTGCTCACTTCGGCAACACATATACTAAGATTGGACTGATACAGAGAAGATTAGCATGGCCCCTGCACAGGATGACATGCAAATTCACGAAGCCTTCCACAATTTTTTCCTCACAAAATTAAAAATGGAACTTCTATTTGACCCTGTGATCCCACTTCTAGGAATATAGCCTAAGAAAACAGAAACACCAGTCAGAAAGGATATATGTACCCCTATGTTCATAGCAGCACAATTCACCATTCCTAAGATCTGGAAACAGCCTAAGTGCCCATCAGCAGATGAGTGGATTAGAAAACTGTGGTACATCTACACAATGGAATATTATGCTGCTGTAAAAAAGAAGGAATTCTTACCATTTGCAACAGCATGGATGGAACTGGAGAACATTATGCTAAGTGAAATAAGCCAGTCGGAGAAAGATAAATACCACATGATCTCACTCATTTGTGGATTATAGAGAACAACATAAACTGATGAACAAAAATAGAATCAGACACAGAAGCATCAAGCAGACTGTCCAACCTATGAGGGAAGGCAGGGGGTGAGGGGGTAAGAGATCAACCAAAGGACTTGTATGCATGCATATGAGCAAAACCAATGGACACAGACAGTAGGGGGGTGAGGGCATTAGCAGGGGAGGGGGAGCGGCTGGGGAGAGGTCAATGTGGGGGGGGGGGAGGAGACTCATGTAATACTTTAAAACAATAAAGATTTTTTAAATTAAATCTTTATTGTTCAGATTTAAACAATAAAGAATTTATATTAAAAAAATTATATGAGAACTAGGCAGGCTAAACTTTATAACTAGAAATACCAAATAAGTTTCAGGAATCACCCAATCCAATTTCTTTTCATTCTCTGCCTTCCAAACAATCTGATTGTTCAGAAATTATTTTCATAACTTTTAATCTCCTGGAAATTGATGAACCATCTCTTTCTCTAGAAAAAAAAGAAAACACAATAATACAGAACACCAAAGCACACTAGATACAAGACACCTCAACTCCCATTTCGAGAGAGTCCTATTACTTTAAGAAATAGAATTGCATGTAGGAAAACAATGTGGGACTTTCATGCATCCTAAAATTTAACACCATTTCCCTGCTCTAAAAGTAGACAGCACCAGATAAATTCTAATACAGAACTCTAGGTGTTTACAGTCTAAGGTGACAGCCATAGAAGTAAAATGACCCAGATTGTGAACCGATGTCAAAAGTTAATCATGAATTGGAAAGAACGTTAATTATCTCAGTGTGGCTCAGTTGGTTGGGCATCACCCCATGCACCACAAGGTTGCCATGTGAAGGGCACATACCAGGTTTTGGGCTCAAACCCCAGTAGGGGGTGTGCAGGAAGCAGCTGACCAATCCATGTTTCATTCATACATTGATGTTTCTCTCTTTTTCTCCCTCTGCCTTCATCTCTCTCTAAATATCAATTAAAAATCCTTAAAAAAACAAAGTTAATTAGCCCGGCCAGCATGGCTCAGTGGTTGAGCTTCAACCTATGAACCAAGATGTCACGTTTCAATTCCCAGTCAGGGCACATGTTTCTCTCTCTTCCTCTCCCTTCCTCTGAAATCAATAAAAATAAATTATGTTAAAGAGCACCAACAACACTGATATTGTGATACGTGTATTTATTTTTTATTATTTTTAATGAATCTTAATTGTTGAAAGTATTGCAGATGTCCCTTCCCCCCCCCATTGCCCTCCTCTCCCCCCTTTCCCCGCCCCCCCCCAAACCTTCACCACTCACTGTGTCCTTCAGTTACGTATATGCATATGAGTTCATTGGTTGAACTCTCCCCCCCCCCCCCTCCCCCGCCTTCCCTCTGAGGTTTGACAGTCGGTTCGATGTTCCTATTTCTCTGGGTCTGAAAATATGGAAGCTTCACAAATTTGCGGGTCATCCTTGTGCAGCGGCCAAGCCAACCTTCTCTGTATTGTTCCGATTTTAGTATATGTGCTGCCGCAGCGAGCACCGATAAGTGTATTTTTAAAAATATATTTTTATTGATTTCAGAGAGGGAAGGAAAGGTAGAAACATCGATCATGAGAGAGAAGTATTGTTTGGCTGCCTCCTGCACGCCCCACGCTGGGGATCGAGCCTGCAACTTGGGCATGTTCCTTGACCTGGAATGGAACCGTGACCTCCTGGTTAGTAGGTTGATGCTTAACCACTAAGCCACACTGGCCGGGCTTTGGTAAGTGTATTTTTTTTAAATTATGGAATTTTGTAGAAGTGATAGAGAAGGCAATAGAGTTCTGTGGTTAGATTCAGGAAGTGTATGAGAGGAAGGGGAAATCCTATTTCTTCCAGTGTGTTTGCTGCCCCCCTCCCCTCCCCACCCCCCCCCCCCCCCCCGCCATCTGCTTTGCCCACTCTAGTGCCCACATTTTTCTAGATTTAGTCAATGCCTCTCGAATTCTTGGTTCCCATGGGTCTAAAACCTAAGAGTTGTTTTGAGGTGAAAAAGTAAAATAAGAGTTATTTGGAACTTTTCTTGCAAAGAAAAGTCTGTTTTATCACAGACTGGTTTGTGATTCCTCCAGAAAGAAACCAAACACTTTAAGCAAGTGTCTCAGGGAGAGGAGGTGGCCAGCTCAACCCTGATCTGTGTGTGGAAGATGCCTGCACACCGCTATTGGCCCCTCTGCATCAGGGTGGAGAACTCGAAGGTTATGTGACCTGGTGCGTGCGAGGCCCCAGGCATTCAGCTGCAGC